TTCCCACAGACGGCGCCAAACTGTTGACGCCAAAAAGTGGTTTCCTGACTTTGAGGGTCAACTTAGTAAATTTGTGTCTCCGGTAGACTTGATGCTTCGGTAGGCTGTGCGATCTGTAATAAAGGTAAACGCACGGTAAGTCCTAGGGCACCGGTGTGGTACCGGCCGAAGGCTCTCCGATGCTTAAGTAAATTCGGGAATATAAAGTTTAACTGACAGATCAATAGGCTTGTATGCCGTAAGTTCTGATTACCTCTACTTTGGGATAGTTGGCCTCCTTTTATAGGCCTTGGGAGGTGTGCATTTTGTTGATAATTTCGATGTGGGACTGTGGGCGTCGCTAGGGAGCCCGCCACGTGTCCCTGGAGAGGGCGTTGCCCTAATGGAGAGATCGGTAGGTGGGGTGCCGAGGGCACCTCTGACCAAGCCCAATTTCCTCCACGTGTCTTGCCCTCATTGGTCGTTTATTTTGGGTGTAAACATTATAGGAACTCCATAAGCGATCATGAATATCAAATGGATACCTAGTTAAATCAATTAATACAACCAATGTTCCCTCATAAATATAATCGAAATTAAATGTTTCAAGGATTGCAAACATATGTATGTGTGTGTGTGTGTGTGATTTTCAATTCGTTGAGGGATCCCTTAAATAAGCTTATTTGAAAAAATATTAGTAAATGCACCCTAAAGTGTGTCCCTCAAATAAAATTAGGGATTTCTCAATAGAAGGGGACTATATATATATATGATTTGGAGATGACTCACCAGTATCCTCTCCTATCAGGTCTTTGGGCCATGTCACACCGGTAGAAAAGTGCCAATGACACCGTTACCGTGGGATAAGATGCATGAGGTAAAGGCCTGAGTTCTAGAGAAGATATTAACGGAACCCCAGAGCCTGTGTTCACCAAACAAACATGTATATAGTTAGTTTCGGAGTGCGACATTTATTAGCTCTTTGTAAGTGTTTACAGCGGAGTCGTTTTCGAACCTAACTGTATCCCACAAATTAGGTCCAAGGTGTAGATCAAATTCTGGTATCTTATTTTGGCCATCATAATTCCCATATGTAAAACCCGCTCGCATAAAATATTTGTTGCCTCGTGTAACATTTATTTTGTAACAATTCCTGGCTCCTTCGGGGAAGCTCCTAACAGACCAGGGCATGGCTGTATATAGTTGTCTCTGTAATCAGGCGATATGGATTTACTGTCGCCGGTGTCTATGAAGGTTGCGTCTGAAATATAGTTAATGCCTGTTACCTTTTCAGAATAACTTGAATCTGTTTGGAGGCCGCAATCTATGCTAATGAATCCTGAGATACACACACATATATGCAAGAAAGAGAGGATTTAGCTTAGCTATATATTACGTTACCAAAATTAGCAATTTGTTTTTCTTGTTGCTGATATAAGATATACCTGATTGACGATCTTGGGAATGAACTAGCAGCATCAGATTAAGAGCGAAACCACCAAGCAGTGAAAAGTGGAGTTGCGTGAATGACCACAACATGACTACAAGGGAAGCCAAAGACACAAATAAGATATTTGTGTTCGATGGATATCATTTTATATATATAGCGTTTGGTAGTTGCGTTCAGTCACCGCTGTTTTTTCAAAGCAGGGACAAGTCAGCTTTTAAAAACTGCTTAAAAAAACTAAAAATTAACTGGTGGTTTTAATGAATTTTTGACATTCCCATAATGCCCTCATTTACTTTTTAAATGAACAGTCCTTATCCCTCCAATTACACCACTCCCGTGAAAACAAGGCAACTTCATATTGTTTAGAGATATAATATGAGAATCCATATACTTGCACAAGTGCCAAAAAAAAATTGCTAATCACTTTTGATATGACTACGCCAAGTCCAACAATACTATCTATATTTGTTAATTATGATTTTTATTTTCTTTTTAAAGTGAAAATATAACAATTTCATTTTTGTTTCAATTCATAGAGGATGATTTTTATTTTTTCTAAAACAGAGAGGATGATTTTTATTTTTCCCCATTTACAGACTTTGACCCATTGACCAGTGGTACAGCGAGAAGCAAGTGAAGTCAATGCTGTGCTGCATGTGCATGATTAAATTGGGTTGAAAACATATGGGGAGACTTGTAAGGTGGTTTAGGTGAGAGCAGGTAAAACAAGGAAGAGTTGGGTATTAATATTGATTCGGTAGTAAATCCGTTCTCTTATTTTCCTTGTTTTGTTTTCTTTCTATTTTTAGGGTTTAGTAAGTAGTCTCTGTCTACAAATCTTAATCTAGTCTCTGTCTAGGTAGAAAATCTAAAAATCAACTTGATAAACAATAAGAGTGGATTGGAACTTAATTAACTAATTTGTTCGAATTCGTTAAAATGATTAACAAGGTAGGTTCTCTTAAATTATAGTATAGTATAGATACAAGAAAAAGCTCTACAAATTAGTGCAAGGAATTTGAATTTTCGTGTAACATTCCAAGACTGCTAGTATTAGTTTGGGACTCAATGTGGGAAGTCATTGTAACTGAGCTGCTTGAACTTGCATCATACCTCTCCACAATCTCTGTTATATCAAAAGGCATCTCAATTTCCAAGCATTCTTTCAAATCATTATGCACAACAGTTATATCTGGCCTTTGGATTGCTGTTGAAGATGCACATGCCATGGCAATTTCTATGGCTTTCCGAGCAGAAGCGTTGAAGTAGCTCCCTTGTAATCTTGAATCCACAATGCTTTCAATTTCCATGCTCTTGAATTTAGGACACATCCATTGACATATGTGAATAGGTACATCTTCTTCATCTCTTGCTATTGCTGCTCTACCGGTTATAAGCTCGAGCAACACAATCCCGAAGCTGTATACATCACTCTTTTTGTTGAGCCATCCAGTGTTGCAATATCTGGACATAAGTCAACACAAAATCTAATTAGATTGAGCATCGAAACTCAAACCTAATTGGCACATGATTAGTATGCAAAGCTTTCATTCCCGAATTTGGGAACAATAGTACTCTCAATGCGCAAATCTCCTGGATGAAAAAAAGTAATTAAGTAATTAAGACTTACTGAGGATCAAGGTATCCAAATGTTCCCTTGGCAGCTGTTGAGACATGAGTAGCACTTTCAGTTGAGAGAACTTTAGAAAGACCAAAGTCTGCTATCTTGGCTTGCAACTTTTCATTTAACAAGATATTGGATGTCTTTAAATCTCTATGCACTATTGGTGGCTTGCAACCATTGTGCAGATATTCCAGTCCTGCAAAAGTATATATATGTGTGTGTGTCAGCCATGTTACATATACATGCATAATAACGTTATATATGGACCATATTATTTTTCAAAGAAAACATTTATTTTAGGGTTTAGTTACCTCGTGTTGTATCTACTGCAATTTGAAGTCTTTCCTTCCAAGTCAAAACGTCTTGAGTTACATCTGCACAGAAAAGTTTTCCATCCTCATAAAGTTGTTCCGATTTCGTTGAAAATAATTAAGGAGAATTAGCTAGGTGTTACCAGCTGATAGATGCTGTTCCAAATTTCCATTCGCCACGTACTCATAAACAAGCGCCATAGTCTCCCCTTCATTACAGTACCCAACCAGAGAAACCAAATTTCTATGACGAGCTCTCATTAACAGTTCAACCTGCCATTTGTTTATGGCTACTATTTTTAGCAAAACTAATACTGATTTTTGTTTAGTATCCGGTACGAAATCTTATAGAAATATAGAACTATATTATTTGTATCACATTTATTAGCCCATTTATTGACCACTAGGTGGACCTCACTAATGTATTTGGACTCACCTCTATTAGAGAGGTGGCCAACAATGTGATCAATAAACGTAGTACAAATAGCAGCATTCTAAATATATACGTATATATTTGCATATAGCTACCTCATTTTTAAATTCTTTTGAGCCTTGCCTCGATGATGAATTGAGCAACTTCACAGCAACCTGAGTCTCATTCGTAAGAGTGCCAAGGTAGACTGTTCCAAATCCGCCTCTTCCAATTATTGATGCAAAATCGTTAGTAATCTTCACAATCTCCGAGTATGCAAAGTGTTGACCCTCGCACTCCACCAACCAATTTGGTTTGAAATTCTTCATCATCTCTACAAACGAAAAGAATCATCACGATGGCCTTGAATATTGATGTACATATGAGACATAGACCATTACACGTTTATGAAGCAAGTTTTTTCGTTTTTACGAAAAACTTTCTAGGGTTTATCCAACCAAGTACAGTGCTACGCAAGTATTGATATTCTGTTTCTTCTTTATGGTATGTTTATTAATCTGTAATTAGATTAGGAGGAATTGAATTGATGATGAATTGAATTGAGGAGTTGGATTGAGGAGAATTAGATTCCGGATTCCTATTAAAGTTGTTTACTAAACCATATGGAATTGGAGTAGGAGTGGTACTAATTACTTAAATGTCCCATTTGTTAGGTTAAAGTAGATGGAAAATTTTGAGTTTTAAAAATTGTGTGAGGCACCAAGTTGGTCGCCTCGCACTATGCCTATGTCGTGAAGAGTAAGGAATTTTAGCATTAGCATGTGTGTAAAGATGAAGACCCTCATTTGTGCCAAAGCTAGGTGTCCAAGGATGACGTTATAAGCCATAGGACAATCAACGATTAGAAAGGGAGTGGTAACCGTGGCCCGTTGGGGTGCTAAATTGATTGAAATGGGGAGGTGGATGCTGCCAATGGGTTGGACAACATTGACAGAAAAACTCACAAGAGGCGTGATGCTTCGGTCAAGTAGGTGGTCAGGGACCTGAAGTTCGTTGAAGGCTTCTCCGAACATGACACTCACCGAGCTACCAGTGTCCAAGAGGATACGGCCAACATAGAAGTTGGAAATATCCACTCGAATGATCAGCGGGTCATCAAGGCAGAAAATGACACCACGCTCCTTCTCTTCGTTGAATGTAATAGGTGCCCATCCTGCCTTAGTCATATTTGGCATGCGTCCATGCTTAGTGCTAAATATTTGGTGTGTGTAGGAAGACCAGACATAGTGCTTGATGGAGTTGTTAGATGTGCCAGCCAGAGTAGGGCCACCGCTGATGGTAGAGATCATGTTGATCTAGCGCTGGCTAGGGCTTGGGGGCGGTGGAATGTTGTGCACATACTTGTCTAACTTGCCTTCACGAATGAGGGATTCAATGATGTTTCACAAAGCAATGTAAGATTCATTGTCATGGCCATTAAATTGATGAAAACGACATAAGACATCGATGTTCGGCATAGGCTTGGCAGTAGGTCTTTGAGGAGGGGGTTTGGGTATGATAAGTGCTTCGTTGACTAGAACATGCTCATAAGTGGTGTTCAGCTTTGTAAACACGTTGACCCTGGGCTTAGGGTCAAAGGGAAGTGGGGCACGATTGTTCTTCTTTGGGGGGTTGTTGCCACCGGACCGATAGGTGTTGGAATGCCTGCTACTTTTTCCATTGTTGAAGGATCGCTAATAGCTATCCTTTCTCTTGGGGTTTTGACCACCCTGAGTATCATGAGTAGGAGTGTAATGGTTGGGCTTGGAGTGGGCCGTTCCCCGGGAGGGATATAAGGGGTTGGTGCATGTCGAAGCCTGTGGTGGGTTGCCAAAGATGGTCCGTGACTAGTTGACAGAGCTACGGTTGGAGTTGAAGTATTCGACTTTGGTGTGGATGACAGTTTGCTTCATTAATTCGGCATAAGTGTTCCATGGGTTGTTGTGGACTAAGTACCGGAAGTTGGATTCACGAAGGCAACTCTTGAATGCGTCGAAGGCCGATCATCTGTCTCTAGGCAGCGGGAATACTCGTGGCTGAAGCGAGTAGCATACTCCCGAAGAGGCTCATCTTCACCTTGCCAAATCATATATATATTGTTTGCGAAATACAAACAATCATGAAATGATCCAAGAAAGTCTTCTTCAGATTGTCGAATGAGTTGATGGTTCAAGAGTTCAACCGATAAAACCAGTTCAAGGCGGCTCCGTAAAGGGTGGAGGGAAAAAGAAGGCAAATTCCTTTTTCACTAAGACCTTTGCATCCTAAGGTAGACTGAAATGAGTGGATGTGGGTCAGGGGCTCTTCCTTACCCGTGCAGAAGGCGATGCGGAGTGGCTGAATATCATTCTCCTGTAGATAGTTGAGGATACGTTCGATGAAGGGGTCAGGGCGTGGCTTTGTCTAAAGGGCTGATGGTTGCATTGTTGCTCATCCTCGAGATGGTGAACCTTCTCAAAAAGAAGTCGCATGGCAGGATTGGTATAGGAGGGTGTCGGGTGCCGAAGATTTGTGGTGCTGGGGAGGTGAATGTGGATAAATTCCCCATTCTTCGAAAGCTTCCGAATGGTAAGGTTCCCAATCATTAGGATGGTAAGGTTCCCAATCTTTCGAATCACCAACTTTCTCCTGGGTAGGTAGATGGGTGGGTTTCAGTAGGGTGCCATGATGAGTGACTCATGGGTCATCGAGATCTATAAGAATTGGGATGGACTTTGGCCGAAGCTCTAAGATGCGATGCCTGCATTCCTTGTAAATCTTGGTTGGGGCATGAGGCCGATCCTTCAGCAGGGAAATTTGGAGAGGTCGTAACCTGGTTATTTCTGGATGAAGGTGGCTTTTGCCTTTGTCAGGCTTAGGCTGCGTTGGGTCATTATGACAGGAGACGGCCAGTTGGTTCGGCAGGGTGCGCTTGATACCTTGGGTAAGGTCGTGTTGGGCGAATTGGTGGTAAGTATTCTCCCATTTATGCTTCAAGTTTCATCAGTCATGTTCTAACTCAGCATTTTTGGTATGAAGGTGGTCGTAGCTCTATGTCATTTTAGCAACATCGGCACGAAGACGTTCCACTTCAGCTTGGAGATGCACGTCAGTCGAAGGTTTTCTTCCGGAGGAATCCACATGTAGGGTGTGGTGCTGGGTGCCAAGGTTAGCTTCTCTCTGCATTATGGAGTGTGATGTGTCAAAGAGACGATGAGGTCAAATAGGAGATTGAGCCAGCGGAACTGTGAGAGAGGTGGGATTCAGAAGTCGCTTCCCACAGACAACGCCAAACTTTTGATGCCCAAAATCGGGGGTCAACTTAGGTGGGAGAAGTGTCGAATCTTCAACAGGATATGAGGGTTGTGGCCTTTCAACAAGGAGAGATCCTATAAAAGAAGATAAGGAAGAAGCAATCGTCAAGCTTCGGGCACCGGTGTGGTACATGTCAAAGGCTCTCCTATGCTTAAGTCAGTAAGTGTGGGATACGCGGTAATTTTGGCAGAGTAAAGGTGAAAAGTAATTACCCCCTTTTACTTGGGCACTATTCCTCTTTTATAGAGAAGTGAAGTGAGAGTTTACACAAAGTTTCGATATGGAACTTTGTGCAAATTCCTACGGTGGTGACACGTGTCTCTGATTTTAGGTTATGCAATTAAAAGCTTTGGGAATTACCTTTGGTAGGTAATTGCTATATAAGAGGAAGGTGTCTTGATAGCTGAGAAAGTGAGGTCACTGGTACCTAAGGTTTCTCAGAAGTGCACTACCTTAGGCATGTTTATGGATCTGTCTGCATGCTGGTCCTCCAGTATTAAGTATGCTCGGTTGATCATGGTATGAACAACGAGCACATCAACTCATTAATTTAGTAATTAATTAATTGATTTACCCTAAAGAATAGTTAAGGCTGTTAAACATAGTGTAATGCTTTTGTTGTAATAACTTTAACAACAACAAAATTGTCTCTATCTATATTAAATATAGCTAGAGCATTTTATGGTAGAGAAAAACAACTCGAGCTACTTTTGTTAGAAACTTTTATATTGTTTTTTTTGTTTGTAAGGCTACTAGGAGGCCATATGGCGGCATGTGAATTGGCTATTTCTAGCCTTTCCTTATGGTTGGTAAGCTGAGCAGCAAGTGGGCTTTAAAGAACCTTGTAATAGATATTAGGGACAAATTGTAGTAAACCCCCCAACCTATAGGGTCATTTACGAGTTCATACTCAATTTCGGGGACATTTACCAGTACATACTCAACGTCGCGGAAACCCTACAATTTGTCCCCTCCGTTAGTCAAACTGTTAGTAAGTTCGTTAAATGTTGACGTGTCAAAAGTGGGACCCCTTTTTTTTATGACGTGGACTTCCATGTGGACCAAAAATTAATAAAAAAGTCAACTTGGACTTGACCCGAACTGATTGACTTCGGTTCCGGTTTCCGGTCAAAAAAATTTGGAATCGTAGGACATGACCCGAACCGCCTATTATTTAATTCATATAAGTTTGACATGTGGTGTTATATTATTGGCTAAAAGGAAGGTGTACAGCGGGTCTGCTTGCACTAGATCACACTAACCTAATATGAACCTCTCCTCTTAACCTAACTCGCCGCCAGCCTCCATCTCAATTCTATTGTTTTTTTCGCCGCTCTCCATCTCTCTGGCCGCCGATCTCGGATGAGGCTTGGGTAGTTTCATCTCCATGAAGCTGAAAGCTTGGTCAGAATCGTCAACTCCATCCATGTCCTTCTCTCTCGTTCTCTCTTTGATAAGCCCTCTTTCTGTTTGATCTTTTTGTCTTATTAAAATTTGTTGGGGATTTGTCTTTTTACAGTACGCAGCGCTCCTATCGACCTCGCAATCTGATGCTCGTTGGGCAGCTAAGAAGAGACGCCTCATAGATAAAGTCCACAAAATGCAATGTCAAATTTAACCTTCACTGCCTTGGTTCTTTTGCTTTCAGTTTCGTCAATTCTTCACTATTTTTCAATGTAGTTTGATGGCTATCTGTGATTTGCTCACTAATCTGAGATTTCAGTTTAGCTTAATGAGTACCCATTAGTTGGTCTGTAGGGAAAAAGAAAAAAAAACGGCTTCTTTTTATTTTAGCTTTTGAAAGTATAGATATTTGACAAAAGTGAAGATAACTGCTTGGTGGGACTGCTTGAAGAGATATTTGATGCTTCATTTGGTATTTGGTTGATCAAATATTGATGAAAATATAAATTTAAGATCTTGAAGTATTGGGCTTGGGGAAATTAAGGCATTCCCAGCTTTTTGGTTTCCCTCGGCTGAAATAGATTTCTTAAGAATACGAAACAACAGAGAGGCTCAATTATTTTTTTATATATGAAT